TTCCAAGGTGCCCAACAAAAAAAAGGTCGAGCAAAAAAAAGCATTTGTTCCTCGATTTAGGATGTGCCTTGAAACATATGTAGGGACAACAGACATGCCTGAGGGCGGCATCCGTCAAATACATATGGATGAAGGTATTTTCGATTTTGAATATCCCGAAACAATTGCTAAGGAGGATTTTGACCAGGTTTTCAAACATTCTGAACTGGTCGTCGGGGTTATGCATTCCTACATCAGGTACTCCGATTCATTTTAATTAAATAATTGAACATTTTAAAATTTCCTCGTTTAACTGAATAACCTAATGTTGATTATGTTTTTTTTAGGCTCTTGTATGACAAGTTGTTGGTCCCCGATGATTTGACTTCAATATTCGCATTCTTATCTACTAGTTGTGTCAACTCACAGACAATAGACCAGACACCAAATTCAGTCAAAGAGTACACAGTCCAGAGATTTATGGGTGCGAATACGGAGAAGTTGTTCTTGTTGCCATATAATACTGGCCATGGGTTAGATTTTATTCTAAATTCATTTATTATAATTATTCGATTTTTGCCATTCTATATATAACATTTTCGTCTAAACTGTTGTCTTATTTTATAGTAGACACTGGTTGTTGGTCGCAATTAATCCGATTAAATAAATAGTGTATTATATAGATTCATTGGATGGCGATACAACAAAATATGAAAATCTGAAGAACATGGTTGGTACGTAAGTGATGAGATATACTTTTTTGAATAATTATATATGTTTATTTATTATGTGACATTATTCTAAATATGCGTTTATATTATGTTAGAGTTATACAAATATTCAGAGCACAGAGACATGCAACAGTGCCAAAAAGCAGGGCTAACAACATCAACTGGATCAGAGTACAGTGGAGGTATATTTTCCCATGTTTGACTGTTATAGTGGTTCTACTTGATAAAACTATTTAAACTATATATTCTGATAAATGTTCGTTTGTTTTTTCCATTTACAGTGTCCTCGTCAGCTCAATGGGATTGACTGCGGATATTTTGTATTGCGCTTTATGAAGGAAATCATTCTTTCTGGTCAAATAGAGATTCCATTCATAGTAGGGATCAATTCATAAGTTATATGATTCATTTTGATAATTAACCAATATTTCATCTGAGTAATTAGTTTTAAAATTAAATCGTGCTTGTTCTGGTGCATTATGTAGTATTTTGATGAATTCAAGTGCGGTACTTACTCGAAAGCAAGATTGGAAGAAATTAAGGAGGAATGGTGTCAATTTATTCTTGAGTTGAGAATTGTATAATGTATCTATTTGTAAAGTTATCGGATTTGTAATTATATGTAAATTGATTGTATATGTGATGTTGTTCTGAGGATCGGATTGTGTTATTGCAAAGTGATGAATTACAATGTTTAGTTATTGTGTTGAATTAAAGGTCAAGTGTTGAATTACAATGTTTAGTAATTGTTATATTTAAGGCCAAGTGTTGAATTACAATGTTTAGTAATTGTTATATTTAAGGCCAAGTGTTGAATTAAAGGTCTGAATTATAAGCAGAGAATGTAATTGTTATAAGCAGGTTTGTCAGAAAATATATAAAAAATGTGATTATTTAAAAAAAAATTCAAAATCGTTAAGAATAGACAGCGCTTTTACAAAAAAGCGCTGCTAAAGGGGCAAAAAATAGGCCTAAAAAAGCGCTGCTATAGGTTGGGAAAGGGGGGGGGGGGGGGGGGGGTCTAAGAAAGCGCTTTAAAAAAGTGCTGCTAAAGGGGGGTCTAAGAAAGCGCTTTACAAAAGCGCTGCTAAAGGGGGGGGGTCTACGAAAGCGCTTTAAAAAAGCGCTGCTAAAAAGAGCAAAAAAGCGCTGCTAAATAGGGTAAAAAAGCGCTGCTAAAGGGGTAAAAAAGCGCTGCTAAATGTGCTGCTAAAGAGAGCCTTTAGCAGCGCTTTTTTCATAAAAAAAGCGCTGCTATTACCTTTAGCAGCGCCACTTTAGGCAGCGCTTTTAACCGCTGCTAAAGGCCAAAAAAAGCGCTGCTAAAAGTTCTTTTTGGCATAGTGATATTTAACTAACTTATTAGAAGATGAAGGAGAAAACAAGACCAAATTTTTTTGTTTTCCTCTTGGCGGGGAACATAATACTGTTGTTTGTATTGTTTCTAATTTGTCAAAAAATTACGGCATTGGTGTGACTTGTATACCACTATTTGATGTAGCTTGTACAGATATTAAAATCATGTGATTATAGAACATTGGCAATTGGTGATGGAGGAAATGATGTAAGGATGATACAACAAGCAGATATTGGTGTGGACATAAGTGGCAGGGAAGGATTGCAGGTAGAAAGAGCAGCTGATTACAGCATTGGAAGTAAGCCTTTCTAAATGGTTCACTCTTTTGAAGGCTATTTTTTTCCTCTAGTTGGAAGTTTGAGGCAGATTGGCGGCTTCTTTTTTATGTTTTATCTGCACAACTACTAAATTTCAGTAATGATATTATGTTTCTTTTGTTAATTTGCAGAGTTTAGATTCCTAAAGAGATTAATTTTGGTATATGGCCGGTATTCATACAATCGTACATCATTTCTCTCCCAATATTCATTCTACAAGTATAATTGAGAAATACATTGTTAAATAATTGTCTGTCTCCCTTTGATTTAGAATGGTATGTTTGCTAATGGTTATATTTTCCTTGTACTTATATTTCAGCTCCGATGTTGTACCTGTGGCCGCTCTTCTGACACTAATGAGCCACTGATTGACTTGAGTTTAGAAATAGAAAATGCAGATTCACTGTCAAGTGTTTTAGAATCTTTCACTATGGTGGAAAATATTGCTGAAGAGCTTAAATGTGAGGGCTACAATAAAGAAGTTTCTATGGAGAAACAGCTTATGTTGAATCAGACACCTTCTATTGTTGCATTCCATTTAAAGAGGTTCAAGACAGATGGGTTTTTTGTTGAAAAGATCGACAAGCATATCGACAGCTGGTGTGAGTATTAATACACGGTCCTTATTGATGAATTTGGTTATTATTTATGGATTGGGTTATTTTGCAGGTCATGAATGATAATATCAATGAAGATTTTGAAGATGAAGATGAAGAAACGTAGATGTAGAAATGTAGATGTTTAAGTTTAATTTTATAGATTAAAGATGTTATTTTGACTATGAATGATGATTGACATTGGGATATGTAATTTGAAGATGTTTTGTTGACATTATGATATGCAATTTGAAGATGTTTTGTTGATTGTGAATAAATGATTGACATTATGATATTTAAATGGATTATGTCACGTATTTTTTTTAAATGCAAGATCATTTTAAAATTTGTATTTGAATATTATGATATAAAAAAATTGTGAATGATGTTATTATCAGGTTTATAAAATAAAATAATATTTTATTTTATTAAAAAATAAATAAATTTATTTGGTTATAAAATAAAATAAATTTTTTTGCAACCGCTATAAAGTGTGTCTGTAGTAAAGGAGGCGTTGCTATAACCTATGAAGAAAAAATGAACTTAAGCCTCTATTAGAACGGTTTAAAATAGGCTACGGCTAAGAAACGTTGTTATATTCCATAAAATTTGAAAACGGAGTCCAGTCGTTGCTGTTCTAGACTGTTCTCTATATAAAATTACAGCAACGACTCTGAATAAGGCGTTGTCTTTGGCTAAATAACCGTTCCTAAAGGCTAAAACAACGCCTTGTTTAGAACGCCCTGAAAACTGTTCTCATATGTAAAGGCAATGACTTTTTTGGATTTTGCAACGATTTTTTTGTGTTGCTGTATATTCAAAATGTTGTAGTGCCCCCACACTTAAGTAGGCCCAAATTTCCTCTTGGGGACAGGCCCAATAGGACATCTCGACGAGCACGACGCTCACACACAAAGGTGCAATCTCCAAAAGTCTGCGTAATGCAAACAGTTGACAAAGTGATAAGGGTAAGTACATGTAGAGAGACACTTTGTGGATGACACAAAGATAGAGAGAAACATATAAAAGGTATCAGAGAGAGAGAGAGAGAGAGATTCGCTTTTAATACCATATTTATGTAAAATCAACATCATATGAAAAGAAGAATATCATTGCACTTAGAGGAGAATAAAGACATGTATTTATATACCAATGTAGAAACTAACTTTCGTAATAAGTAGGAAACATAATATTAAGATTGTCGGCCTAAAATAAAATTAATTTAGAGTGTGTTTGGATGAGGTAATTGAGAATTGTTATAGAATTCAAAATTCTAATCAATTTAAATTATTGAATTGAAATGCATTCATTTTTAAATTCTTTTGTTTGGATGAGGTATTAAAATGATTCTTTTTTAAAATTTTGGGGTCATTTTCATAAATTTTTAAACTTTTGGGTCAAATTTAAAATATGAAAATAAGGAGTAATTTGTAAAATTTAAAAAATTTAAGGGACTAATTTGAAATTTTCATAAAATATGAAGATTATTTTGCAAAATTTAAAAAGTTAATAATTAATAATTAACATTTGTATTATATAAAGTGAAGAAAAAATTTAAAATTCTTTTACTATTTGGTGTAATTTGAAATTTTTTAAATTCAACTTAAATAAAATATTTCATAAATTTAAATCATTTTAACAATTCTCTAGATTTTTTATCTAAACAATAAATTTTAATCAAGTTATTTTAAATTTTAAATAAAAAATACTTTTTTTTATTAAAATGCTTTATCCAAAACTCTGTTAGCAAAAATAACGGAAATTATAATCTATCCATATGTAAGACTAATTCCTCTTTCTAGCAGTAATATTCTCATCAACCTCAAGTTGGCATCAATTTAATTACAAGGAATTGTCCACTTTATTGCGCATAGTTGAATTGAGGAGTAGAGTATCGTGAATAAATTACGCCTAGATTCCTAAGTAATATGATAGCCCAAAAGAGTATAAACTACAACTTATTCAAAGTATTAATCTCTAATACATACATAGATGATGGTGTTCTATAATGAATAAATCCTCACTTGGAGAAATAATTATTAATAATATTGTTGATGATAGAACCATTGAGATGGCCAAGTACTGGTCCACCGAGATTATTTATAAGGCCAGTAATCGATGTTTGGTCCCTGCAGGTAGAACTTGCAGCGTTTGAAAAAAAAGGATTACGAGCATTCTCCATATCTATCATGATCTCTGAAAATGAAGAGCGTCGAAAAGGACCAATAGACTCGCACACGAAACGACCTTTCCAAACATCATGCCAAACATGCCACCCACCTAGACATAACTCCGAAGCACTCAACAACATGTGAAACACCAACAAAGTTTCACCACCTGTACTCGTAGGGTTTTTGTTAGCGACAAGTATGCCTAGGTTATAGTTTGGTATTCCGTACTGAATGCAAAGATTGTTTGGCTCGTTGCGTATATCTAAAACACGGCCTCCAATTCTGAAATCAATGGGCCTAATGCAGCCTTCATGGCGAACCATGAAATCTACTCTGAATCCTAAGGTAGTAAGAGAGTCCATGAGACTGAAATATGCTGTTTGGACTCCGAAGGCAGCTCGAAGGGTGCAAGTTCTTGAAAGAGAAGTTGAGTATACAATAGTTTGGTCATTGCCGCTGGGACTCTTGTACACTTCAATTTTAGATATATTGTTGCTACTAGTGCCAAATATAATCCCCATCTCTCTCTCTCTCTCTTACTAAATGGTCTGGTTTATTTTGTTTCCTTCTTGTGGCTATGAGTTTGTGATGACTATGTGTGTTATAAGTAAATCATATGAGCTGAGTGGATTCTTTTTAGCTTAGAATGGAAGCACATTATGCATATAATAATCATTAGATATCCTTTTGTACAAGTATTAAAATTTATATTCTTTATCATATAAGCTTTTAGATTCGATCTGGTGGGTTTCTTTTTCTTTGTTTAGCTTAGTTTTATTCTTTCTTTTTTTTTTCATGCAATCATTCAATTTTGATTTTTTTTAAATATGATTGTAATTTCAGTGAGGGATTTCTCTCACTTATTTATAAATATATATTTATGTTATATCTATATTTAATAGAATTTGTATTCGGGCACAGCTTCAAAATTTGAATAGGAATTAGATGAAGGTGACATGATTATAACTGTTATAATAAATTTTAAAGAAACACATTAAATTTTAGGTTTATTGGTGTTTACTGATATTTTTAATAAACTTAAGAGATTAAATTCAAAAAAAATCAAGAATAATTTGTGAAGAAAAATGCAATAAAAAGTGTTTGTAATTGGATTTTAAATGGTTGAATAATAACAAACATGGCATAAACTCTAATTAAAATAAGTTTTTAATAAAGATAATAAATAAATAAAATGTGATAAATGTCATTAAAGTAAAAATGCTTCAATTGAACCGACAAAGAATTTAAAAAGAGGATGTAGATTCATACATTTTTCACAAACTGTTTTTCAGTAATTTGGATATTTTAATTCTATAGAGGATAAATGAGATTTACGACTATTATCACAACAATGAGATCAACTTATTATATATTAATCCGTCAACAATTAATTCCACGGGATTTGACACGTATGCCATTACATGGGCCTCAGTATTCTAACTTGCTTCCATGCGTCTTCAGGAAGATTTACCTCATACCCCTACACTTGTACTTATACCCCTACATTAAAAATTTTTGGACCAAAATATCCTCGTATAAAAATTTTTATTTTTTAATTTTTTTACATTTTTTTATTTGTTTACCGTAAGACTTTTTGGAAGTCCTCCGGTTCACATTTTTTTTCGTATGTTTACCGGAAGACTTTTTGGAAGTCTTCTGGTTCATATTTTTTCGTTTGTTTACCGGAAGATTTTTTGGAAGTCTTCCGGTTCATATTTTTTTTTAATTTGTAATTAATATTTAAGATTTATTAACTTTATATAAAGACCAATTTAGTAAATTTTTGAATATTATACTTAAAATATAAAAATTCTATAAATAGAGAATTATTTTCAGAATATTTTCTATTTGCTATAATTATTAGAATACAATGAGATTAAAATCATTTATTTTAAATGATCATAATAGTAAAATTTTCTCAAATATCTTATTAATCTGAAACATTAATAAATAAAATAAATTTAAATATAGGATATAAGTTTACATTATTCAATATATTTAATCAAATGAAAACATATGTGATAAATAAATAATGTATTTTAACTTAAAATGATCACAATAAGTTAACTTGCAAAATAATATAAGTAATAAATTAATAATGTATTTTATTTAAAATAATCACAATAATAGAATACGCAAATAATGTGTTTTATTTATATGACTGATATAGTTTTATTGATTATTTAATTTTAAATACTACTATGAATATAGTATTTAATCTATACTTTAGAACTCACATAATTATAAATATAAAAAATATTGTTTTATTACCCATATTTTTATTTAATTAAAAAAAATAAGAATATAAATTTATTATTTGTTTTTCATTTTCGTTTGATCTTTTTTTTATTTATAAATTTTTTGCATATTCTATACTGTGCTTACTTTAAATAAAATATATTATTTATTTTATTAAAAATATTAAATAAAGTGAAATAATTAAAAAGATCAAACAAAAATGAAAAACAAATAATAAATTTGTATTCTTATTTTTTTTAATTAAATAAAAATATGGATAATAAAAAAATATTTTTTATATTTATAATTATGTGAGTTCTAAAGTATAGATTAAATACTATATTCATAGTAGTATTCAAAATTAAATAATCAATAAAACTATATCAGTCCTATAAATAAAACACATTATTTGCGTATTTTATTATTGTGATTATTTTAAATAAAATACATTATTAATTTATTACTTATATTATTTTGCAAGTTAACTTATTGTGATCATTTTAAGTTAAAATACATTATTTATTTATCACATATATTTTCATTTGATTAAATATATTGAATAATGTAAACTTATATCTTATATTTAAATTTATTTTATTTATTAATATTTAAGATTAATAAGATATTTGAGAAAATTCTACTATTATGATCATTTAAAATAAATGATTTTAATCCTAGTATTCTAATAATTATAGTAAATAAAAAATATTCTGAAAATGATTCTCTATTTATAGAATTTTTATATTTTAAGTATAAGATTCAAAAATTTACTAAATTGGTCTTTATATAAAATTAATAAATCTTAAATACTAATTATAAATTAAAAAAAAAACATGAACCGGAAGACTTCCAAAAAGTCTTCCGGTAAACAAACGAAAAAAAATATGTACCGGAAGACTTCCAAAAAGTCTTCCGGTAAACATACTAAAAAACTGTGAACCGGAAGACTTCCAAAAAGTCTTCCGGTAAACAAATAAAAAAATATAAAAAAAATTAAAAAATAATAAATTTTTATACGAGGATATTTTGGTCCAAAATTTTTTAATGTTGGGGTATAGGTATAAGTGTAGGGGTATGGGATAAAACTTTCGCGTCTTCAATATTAAAATGGCTGAAAACCTCCTACTATGTTGATAATTAGTGTCGAACCTCTAAATTGCCTCTGACGAGAGTCTCTGGTCGACTTCTATAGCATTGTCTAAGTATCTTTAAGTCCCCTATTTTTAGGGCTCCAAAATATCCTAAATCCTCAACGTGTGACAAACGTGTCGAACTCTACACTTTGTTGAAGAATTGATTGTGCAAATCTTCTCGAAATTGTGGACATGTTTTGAAGGGAGAGTGATCATAATCTTGTGGATTTGTTCCTGAGACTCTTCCAAACCAAGGCTAATAAGTTAATTGAAATATGGGTATTCATCATCAGAGAGGTATTATTTTATCCATTGTAGAGGTATTACTCATTCTCTTTTTAGAAACGTTTTCTTCCTCTTCATTCTCTTTTTTATCCATTTTCTTCACCCTTAAGTTTATCATCTAGTAACGTATTCTTCCATCCATCTAAAACCTTCACCCCTCAAGTCTTCAACAACACATCTATTTTAAGTTAATTTTTCGCATTTTCTATTTGTTTTCTATTTTTTATTTTACGTCAAATCCCTAATCACATTGTTTATTGTTCATTTTCGAAGTATATGTACTATTTTCATCATCTAAAGGTTTCAAATTTTACAAGGAGATTCAAATCTAAGTTATACATTAGTTTGATTTGTTCATCTAAGGTACACTTTTCTTTTCGATTTTTTTAAATATTTGGATGTATTGATATTTGTTGATGTTGATGTGTTGTTAATATAAAATATTTGTGTGTTTTATTATAGGCTTAATTAGTGTTGAAGTCTTTTAACTTAATTTCAGTTTTCACTTTATTCTTTTATCAAATAAATATTACATTTTAGTCCCTTAACAACTATTTTGTTAGTCAAGTTAGTCTTTTCTGTTAAGTTTTATGGAAAAAAAACGTTAAGTTGTGTATAGGTGGCATGACAGCATGGCAAGTGAGTCAGCAATTCATTAAAGGGACTAAATTGAAACCTTATATATAGTTAAAGTACCAAATTGAAACTTTTTTATATTAACATAATCTTGAATATAATAACATTAAGGCAAAATCTTGTTACATTACTAATTCAAAGCAAGACATTAAACCAAAATAAATTAAGGTGTACGCAGACACAACTACAAGAGTTTATTCTTCTTAGAACTTGAATTGTCATTTGTGAAAAGAATTTTTTCAAGTTTAACAATTTTATACCTGTTGTAGAAATCTGGTTCTTCACATGAAATGATTTTTCTCATCTTATGAATTATCATAGTATAGCTTCCTTCTGAACATGGTATAAACTCTACATCATAATGTATGTGTCATCTAATTACTCTTTTCTCATAAGAGATTAAACAATTCTACAACTTCTCAATGACATATTTTAATGCATTAGTATAAAGATCTATAGTAACAAATTTAAGACTGCAAAATCTTGATAAGTATATAATTCAACATTTATTTTTAATTTTTTTTTATCTTTACCTCTTGGAATAGAACATATATTTGGTAGCTCCATTCACCAAGAGTTCTAATGTGCACTTTGAGGTACTCATCTTGTGGTCCTGATGTCAAAGAAGATGAATGCCTGAAAATTTTGCCAAAAGAAATTCAAAAATACTGCAAGAATACTTTAGATTATTATTAGTTGAAAATTGTGAAATGTTGAATATTGAATAAATACCAAAAAGCATTAGATAAAATGGTGAAAATGCAAGAATACCTTAGAATAATAAAGCAGTACAGTACAGTTACTTCATTTTATATAATATGAAAATAGTTGCTTCAATGATTTAGTAAGGTGGAGGGGTGCAGTATCATTTCAGAAATTAAATTTCACATAATTTTAAAAAGAGATTATTCCGCCACAACGTTTTCTTCACAACTTCAGTTAGGGCGATATATTTCGCTTCAGTGGTTGATAAGGCAACGACCTTCTGAAGTGTTTCTTTCCAACCGATTGTTGTCCCAAACATAGTGAACACATATACAGAAATAGGTTTTCTAGAATCCATACAACCTGCATAATCAGAGTCACATATCCTTCGATTGTTGTACAAATTTTCAAGTTTCACCCATAATCCCGATGATGTAGTCTCCTTTAATACCTATCGAAGAACCTTATCACCAAGGCTCAATAATATTGCGTCGTGAGCTTTCTCAATCATGGTCGTCTTTTCT